ATTGGGGTTAATTGCGTTCAATGGGGGAATTGGGGCTGATTTCGTGTTAATTGCTGTTAATTAACATTAATTGGCGTTGATTTTGGATGAGTTGGTGTTGATTTTATGTTAATTAGTGTTAATTGGAGTTAATTGTGGGTTAATTGTGGTTAATTTGGGATTAATTAGCGTTAATTACTGTTAATTTGGGTTAATTAGAGTTAATTGGGTTTAATTAGTGTTAAATGGGGTTAATTAGTGTTAATTTGATGTTAATTGCTGTCAGTGTCAATCAGCATTAATTTGTGCTAGTTTTGGGCTAATTAGTGTTAATTAGTGTTAATTAGGGCTAATTAGGGTTAATTGGGGTTGATTTTGTGTTCATTGCTGTGGAATTTTTGCTAATCAGCGTTAATTAGTGTTAATTAGCGTTAATTAGCGTTAATTAGTGTTAATTTGGGATAACTTGGGGTTAACTTTTGGTTCATTTGGTGTTAATCGGTGCTAATTAGTGTTAACGAGTGTTAATTAGCGTGAATGTTGTGCTAATTAGCATTAATTGGGGCTAATTTGGGGAGGATTTTTGGTTCGTTAGTGCTGACTGTGTGTTAATCAGTGCTAATTAGTGTTAATGAGCTTTAATGAGCATTAATGAGCGTTAATGAGTGCTAATGAGCGTTACTGAGCGCTAATGAGCGTTAATGGTCATTAATGAGTGCTAATTAGCGTTAATGATTATTAATGATCATTAATGAGCGCTAATGAGCATTAATGAGCGTTAATGAGCATTAATGACTGTTAATGAGCACTAATGAGTGCTAACGAGCAGTGATGAGTGCTAATGAGCGTTAATTAATGTTAATGAGTGCTCATGAGTGTTAATGAGTGTTAATGAGCATTAATGAGCGCTAAATAGGGTTAATGAGCGTTAATGAGTGCTAATTAGAGTTAATGAGTGTTAATGAGCGCTAATGAGCATTAACGAGCACTAATGAGTGTTGATGAGCACTAATGAGCATTAATCAGTGCTAATGAGCATTAATCAGTGCTAATTAGGGTTAATGAGCGCTAATGAGTGCTAATGAGTGTTAATGAGTGTTAATGACCGTTAACGAGCATTAATGAGCGCTAATGAGCATTAATGAGTTTTACTGAGTGCTAATGAGCTCTAATGAGCATTAATCATTGCGAAGGAGTGTTAATGAGCATTAATGAGTGCTAATTAGGGTTAATGAGTGTTAATGAGTGCTAATGAGCGTTAATGAGTGTTAGTGAGTGTTAATGAGCGCTAATGAGTGCTAATGAGCGTTAATTGAGTGTTAATGAGCGCTAATGAGTGCTAACGAGCGTTAATGAGTGCTAACGAGTGCTAATGAGTGCTAACGAGCGCTAATGAGTGCTAACGAGCATTAATGAGTGCTAATGAGTGCTAATGAGTGCTAACGAGCGCTATCGAGCGCTAATGAGCGCTAATGAGTGCTAATGAGTGCTAACGAGCATTAATGAGTGCTAATGAATGTTAACGAGTGCTAACGAGTGCTAACAAGCATTAATGAGTGCTAATGAGTGTTAGTGAGTGCTAATGACTGTTAACGAGCATTAATGAGTGTTAATGAGCGCTAACGAGTGCTAATGAGTGCTAACGAGCATTAATGAATGCTAATGAGTGCTAATGAGTGCTGATGAGCATTAATGAGCGCTAATGAGCGCTAATGAGTGTTAACGAGTGTTAATGAGTGCTAATGAGTGCTGATGAGCATTAATGAGCGCTAACGAGCGCTAACGAGCATTAACGAGCGCTAATGAGTGCTAACGAGCACTAATGACCATTAACTAGTGTTAATGAGCGCTAATGAGTGTTAACGAGCGCTAATTACTGCTAATTGTGTCAGGGAGATCCTGGTGGAGGAGAGCAACGTGCAGCGCGTCGACTCGCCCGTCACCGTGAGAGGATCNTAACGAGCGCTAATTACTGCTAATTGTGTCAGGGAGATCCTGGTGGAGGAGAGCAACGTGCAGCGCGTCGACTCGCCCGTCACCGTGAGAGGATCGGGGAAATCGGGAAAATCGGGAAAATCGGGAAAATCCGGAATTTGGGAATTGGGAATTCGGGAATTCGGGAATTCCGGGGAAAATTGGGAATTTCTGGGGAGAAATCCGGGAATTTCGGGAGTTTTTGGAGGAATTTCGGGGAGTTTTTGGGCAGATTTTGGCCAAAATTTGGGAATTTCTGGGGCAGTTTTGGGGATAAATTTGGGAATTTCGGGGAATTTTTCGGGAGTTTTGGGGATTTTTGGGAATTTTCGGTCAAAATTTGGGGATTTTTGGTCGAAGTTGGGGAATTTTGGAGGGAAATTTGGGTTTTTTTATTTTTTTTTGGCGGTTCTGGGGGAATTTTGGGGATAAATATGGGAGTTTTGGGGAATTTTGGGAAATTTTTGGGAATTTTGGGGATTTTTGGGGAGTTTGGGAATTTTGAAGAATTTTTGGGGATTTTTTGGGGGAACTTTTGGCCAAAATTTGGGATTTTTGGGGGAAATTCGGACATTTTGGGGATTTTTGGGAATTTTGAGCATTTTTCGGGATTTTGGGGAATTTTGGCAAATTTTTTGGGAACTTTTTGGCCAAAATTTTGGGGAATTTTTAGGGGTTTTTGGGTGAATTTTTCTGATTTTTTTTTAGGGAGAAATTTGGGAATATTTTGGGGATTTGAGGAATTTTTGAGGGGAATTTTTGGCCAAAATTTGGGAATTTTTTTTTTTGAGAAATTCAGGAATTTCGGGGAACTTTGGGGAATTTTGGGGGGTTTCGGGAATTTCGGGAATATTGAGATTTTTTTTGGGATTTCGGGATCTTTTGGGGGAATTTTTGGGATTTTTTTGGGGGAACTTTTGGCCAAAATTTGGGAATTTTTGAGAGAAATTTGGGGAATTTTTGGTGGAATTTTGGCCAAAATTTGGGAGTTTTGGGGTGAAAAATTGGGGTTTGTGGGGGAGTTTTTGGGATAAATTTGGGAATTTTTCGGAATTTTGGGAATTTAGGGAATTTTTATGCATTTTTGGAGGAATTTTTGGGATTTTTTTGGGGAGAAATTCGGGGATTTTGGGGATTTTTAACGGAATTTTAGGGAAAAATTTGGGGAATTTTTGTGGATTTTTGGAGGAATTTTTGAGATTTTTTTTGGGGAGAAAATTGTGGATTTTGGGGATTTTTAAGGGATTTTTCAGGGAAAAGTGTGGCTGGTTTTGGGGTAATTTTTTGGGAATTTGGGGAATTTTGAGGGATTTTTTGGGAATTTTTTTGGGAATTTTGGCCAAAATTTGGGAATTTTTTGGGGGAAAATTGGGGATTTGGGGGGATTTTTTGGGATGAATTTGGGATTTTGGGGATAAATTTGGGAGTTTGGGGAATTTTGGGGATTTTTTTGGGAACTTTTGGCCAAAATTTGGGAATTTTTGGGGGAAATTTGGGAATTTTGGGGAATTTTTGGAGGAATTTTTGGGGGGAACTTTTGGCCAAAATTTGGGAGTTTTTTTGGAGAAATTCAGGAATTTTGGGGAAATTTGGGGAATTTTGGGGGGTTTGGGGAATTTTGGGAATATTGAGAATTTTTCTGGGATTTCGGGAGTTTTTGGGGATTTTTGGGGATTTTTTGGGGAACTTTTGTCCGGAATTTTGGGGAATTTGGGGATTTTGGGGGTCTTTGGGTGAATTTTGGGTGATTTTGGGTGAATTTTGGACAAATTTTGGGTGATTTTGGGTGAATTTGGGGTGAATTTTGGGTGATTTTGGGTGGATTTGGGTGATTTTGGGTGAATTTGGGGGTGTTTTGGGTGTTTTTCGGTGATTTTGGGTGATTTTGGTGAATTTTGGGTGATTTTGGGGGTGTTTTTGGGTGAATTTGGGTGAATTTTGGGTGCTTTGGGTGAATTTTGGGTGATTTTGGTGAATTTTGGGTTGATTTTGGGTGTTTTTGGGTGTTTTTGAGTGAATTTGGGTGATTTTGGGTGATTTTGGGGGTATTTTGGGTGTTTTTGGGTGATTTTGGGTGATTTTGGTGAATTTTGGCTTGATTTTGGGTGTTTTTGGGTGTTTTTGAGTGAATTTGGGTGATTTTGGGTGATTTTGGGTGATTTTGGTGAATTTTGGGTGGATTTTTGGTGAATTTTAGGTGATTTTGAGTGTTTTTGGGTGATTTTGGGTGATTTTGGTGAATTTTGGGTGTTTTTGGGTGATTTTGGGTGATTTTGGTGAATTTTGGGTGGATTTTTGGTGAATTTTAGGTGTTTTTGGGTGTTTTTGGGTGATTTTGGGTGGTTTTGGTGAATTTTGGGTGATTTTGGGTCGCTTCTCCCCAGGTGTGCGGGGACATCCACGGGCAGTTCTACGACCTCAAGGAGCTGTTCCGGGTCAGTGACCCCTGACCTCTGACCCCCGAGTGACCCCTGACCCCTGAGTGACCCCTGAGTGACCAATGAGTGACCCCTGACCCCTGAGTGACCCCTGACCCCTGAGTGACCCCTGACCCCTGAGTGACCAATGAGTGACCTCACCTGTCCCATCTCACCTGTCCATGTCTCACCTGTCCATATCTCACCTGTCCATCTCACCTGTCCCATCTCACCTGTCCATATCTCACCTGTCCATCTCACCTGTCCATCTCACCTGTCCATGTCTCACCTGTCCATCTCACCTGTCCATATCTCACCTGTCCATCTCACCTGTCCATCTCACCTGTCCATATCTCACCTGTCCACCTCACCTGTCCATATCTCACCTGTCCATCTCACCTGTCCATCTCACCTGTCCATATCTCACCTGTCCATCTCACCTGTCCATGTCTCACCTGTCCATCTCACCTGTCCATCTCACCTGTCCATCTCACCTGTCCATATCTCACCTGTCCATGTCTCACCTGTCCATATCTCACCTGTCCATGTCTCACCTGTCCATGTCTCACCTGTCCATCTCACCTGTCCATGTCTCACCTGTCCATGTCTCACCTGTCCATGTCTCCCCTGTCCATGTCTCACCTGTCCATGTCTCCCCTGTCCATGTCTCACCTGTCCATATCTCACCTGTCCATGTCTCACCTGTCCATGTCTCACCTGTCCATCTCATCTGTCCATCTCACCTGTCCATCTCACCTGTCCATGTCTCACCTGTCCATATCTCACCTGTCCAT